AAAAGACAAATAATATTCTTTGTTAAGAAAAGTAACATTTAACGATAGGTAATTTACGTTTTGTTAACTCATAATAGGAGAGTAAATATTTCGGAATTCTTTCATCTCGTCATCCGTTGGTAGTGGGAACGAACAACCAACTTACGTACCGTTGATATATGTATTACATACGTGTACGTAATTACATGCACGAAGAAATTCAAGCGCGTGCTTTTACGAGAGCATACAATATCGTATCGACATTCCAATCGGTAGAAACCCGAATTACGCTGATTTTCTTGTTGAAAAAGAAAAGAAAAAAGAATAAGAAAAACGAAAGTAGAAGATTTCTTGTAATAATTTCACAATTGTGGCCAAGTAAAAATAAGGTTGATTTTTGAAAGTAGCATTGAAAACATTCTTTCGTTGCAACATCATCGATGTGTTCAATGCAGTCCCATGTAAAGTGATTCTTCCATGGTATTTGTGGTAGAGCACGTATATGTATTTAAGAAGGATAAAATACATAGGTAGAGATACTCGAACGTGTATATTATTGTAGTCCGTGGCACGAACGAACGAACGAACGGTGTGCGGTTTGTTTGAAAAGATAAGACTTGGTCAGACGTAGACCGATAATTTTGACCTGACGTCATTGTCTATTTCTTCTTCTGTCTCGGAGATCACGTCGAGGCTGTGGTAGCCATTAGAATTTTCACTAAAACAGGAAGTCCATCTTGATACGTTCGACTTTGGTTTAATAGCTAAACAAGATTAAGATAACATTCTATAACTTCCTGTAATTCTTACAAATATAATACTACTCGCGTTCACGTACGTAACACACTAAGTTAAGATCTTTAAAAGCGATCGAACGTATCTTATCGAAAATAAAAAATGGTTGTTCTCGTCCTCGGTTATATGAAACGTCGAATAACGACTCTATATCTTAAGTACCTTTTAATAATGACTTTGAAAATATTAATGAGTCCTTGGGACTGTTGGAAACGCCGGCAAAACGAGTACGAGGGCCTCCCTTGCAGCTCTCTCATTAGTGTCAGATTCCGTTCTGCTCTACAAATCATCGTAAAATTCTCCGACTGTAAATTAACTTAATGACAGAATTTCATTCGTTGTGGGAAAACGACATTTACATTTTTCGTCGATGCCTCGACGAGAATCTTGGCTCGGTTCGATGCAAACGAGATCGAAATCGGTTTTTTTTTATTTTTCCCTTTCTCTCTCTCTCTCTTTCTCTCTCTCTTTCTAATTAATAATTTCTTCGAAAGGGGTGAGGGAAAAAAAACAGGGCTAACACATTAAAGAAATATTGAAAGCGCGTAATTAGCGTTACGGTCACACGGATTTCCACATCTCCCCATCGTGGCGATCGTAAAAACGCTTTCACTTTTTTTTCATAAACTTGCCAGGGAGATTACATATGCGTATGCGGATGGGAGGATGCATGCGTGCATCCAACCAACGTCCGAGTGTTTTTGAGAGTAGCGCGCGTATGAACGGACCTTAAGGCCTCGAAGAAAGAGATAGAGAAAAAAGGACAGAGATGCATTCCAGCATGGAAGGTGGGATGGATCCGTCTCTGATAACCCGCCCATTGGAATGCGTACCTCGTACACCTTGGTGAATTCTTTCCTTCTCTCGGTTTGACTGCACTCAAGTGCATCCACCCGTTGCATCCACAAGCTCTGCCCTGCTCTGCCCTGCTCTGCTGCGACATTTTACCAACCTATTTCTCTAATTCTAATTACTTTCCTCGTTTTAAGTTTTACTTTCTCGAACACTTTGAACTACGGGGTTTTTTAGATCAATGCGTTATAATATAGAGGACGCGTATCAGTGGAAGAAAATTTGTTTTACGTAATTCGTGACAAATGATTTCTACTTTCGATACACGTGGCACGTTCGTTCTCTCGTGATGCATTCTTTTGCTCTCTTATCCTCTCGTCCACGCATATATACACACACACATACACATATGTATGTTCGTATATCCGGCATACGTATTCGAGTTCTATTTTTAGACCGGTCCAAGCATATTTTTAGAGAGAGACTTTCACGGTGCCTACCAGCAGGTTTAACCCTGACTTACGCGCAACGTCCTACGTCTACTACTTTCTTTAGGACCTATGAACAACACTTCGATACAATCCTCTCATCATCGTTGTCATAGTTGTATAGTTCGTCGACACTTTGGACTACATCTACGTAGTTACCTATCGTCCCTAAAAAAAAAAAAATCGTGTCTCGTGTCGATGACCCCGAACGAAGAGAGACGTCAAGCTGTTTCCCCCTTCACCCCTTCCCCCATGGATAAAATTTCTCTTTTAACATTGTCGCATTGAATACAGGAGGGAGAAGAAAGACACGGTGCCAAGCATAATCTCTTATGCCATCCCATACATTGTACACAAATTGGCTCAAGTCGATCGGTTAATGCGACACGAAGTGAGCAAACCGACGACGAGAATATAATCGACGTACCTACCCACTTCGAAATTAATCTTAAGACGTGACTGTGAAATCGCACGAATGTGTAAGACGACGTATTGAATATGAGAAAGAAAGATAGGAGGGATTGAATACTTCTTTTTCTTCTTTCTTTTCGATAAACAAAACTACGCAATTGCGTATGCAGAAAATAAACGAGGAGGGGGGAAAGAAAAAAAAGATATCATTAATACGTAAGAACGATGCACGTAAGTTTTGGCAAATCTCGTATAATATCTCGCTGTGACACCAATGACGCAATTTTGTGATTCTATTTACAGGAATACGTGTAAGTAAGTAAGTAAGTATCATCAGCAGCGAAATTAAACAACACACAACATATTCGTCGTTCCAATTTTTGCTTCGAGATTAAGAATAGAGATATTAAAAATAATAATAATAATAGTTTTCGTAAAAAGAATTATTCATTTGTCACGAATGAAATAACGAAGGGGAATGTTCTCTAGAGTGTAGAAAAATTGATTTTCCTTTTATGTTTCACGGTTTCTGAACAGAGAACACTAGGCAGGAAGGAATCGAATGCATGACGCATAAGATCGCACGTAATCGTTTGTTATCGGGCTGTGTGCTCGGGGTTCTCTAAAAATGATCGAGTTTAAGAGAGGCCTATCTCTCTTTCTCTCCTTTCTTTGGTTGGTACGAATCGACCTACATACATTCCGCGTTCCTTCGTCGCGACGAACATAAAAAAATATCGAGTCTATCTTGCAAGAACAGTGGCTACGGCGGCTACGGCAGCAACAGTTTCGAAGGTCTTTCTGTTTTACATCGGCTGGACCAAAGCGCGTGGATTCGTCTTGGAATTGCAATAAAAATAACGTCGATAAATTAGACTCGTATTTATAGAAAAGGCGGTCTCGCGTGAAACGCTTTCGATTCTCTTCTCTGCTATTGGATAAAGAAACACATTAATTATTTTCGATACCACAACCGAACAACGCGTTGTCGGGGTGGGTGGTGTCGAGTAAAATAGAAATAACACATTTGTTAACCAAACTTTGAATAATATTCGTCTATTATTTATGTTTCATCCATCCTTGTTCTTATGCCACGCGCGTTTTAATCAATTACCTACCTATTATTTGAGAAAGAAACACACTCGTGTAGAAATACTAGCTTACTCTTCTCTCATTTTACTTATTGTTCAAATGAAATCAGATCGTGCCAGTATTTCAAGACATTCTAAATATAAATCAACCGTTACCGATATATCTCCCCTCCTGCCCCCCTCCACCATCGCGGTTATTAATAATTCATGTCGAAAATCGGTTAATTAATAGTTAGTCATTCCTTATAAATAGACTTTTACGCTCGGTATATAATAGTTCGAAGTCTTATTAATCGCATTTATAATTGTACACGATAGGATTGGCAGCTAATGGGAATTATAGAAAATCGTTCATCATTCTCGCGCCTTTTCTATGATAGAGAGGTGTCGATTAAACTTACGCGTAACTCGCATACATCTTTTTTTCATTTTCATAATCAATTTCTACGACTTCCGTAAATAATATTAAACGTTAACACTAAGCACATTAAGAGTTTCTTGCATTTATCGAGTATCAATTAATAGCTATATCGGGGTTTAAATGAAAAAAAGTCTTCAAGAACGAATGAATTAAAATGATCGATCGCGAGATCGTTAAAAGGTCACTTAGGATAAGATTGAAAAGAGATCACAAGCAAAGAGAATATTAATTGAGAAACTTCCACGAGTTAGAAAAAGAAAGAGAGAGAAAGTCGAGTGTGTGTGTATGCAATAAAGTAAATTAATTTATTCGAGGTTAGACGCTCGTTTGCTTAGGAATTCTAAGTATCGTGTCTATTAAGTACGAACTCGAACTCGAACTCGAACTCGAAGTCAATGATCTCAAAAAGAAAAAGAGAGAAAAAGAGAGAAAAAGAGAGAAAGAGAGAAAGATTTTTTTGTCGTTTTCTTCTCAATCTTTCTCTTGATTTCCATCCTCGTTACTCCTGCTGTTCTCTTCACGTGAATGGACGCACAGTGTCCGAGATGCGAAGCGTAATGACGCGCGTGCACTTAAATATAGTGGCTGGAAGTCTGGAGTAAGAAGACGAAATGACGACGAAGGAAGGGTAAGAAGGAAGAGAGAAGAAGAAGAAGAAGTGCTGGTGGTGATGGTGGTGGTGGAGGAGGAAAGAAAAAGAAGACTTACGTCGGCGTGGGCACGTAAAAATAGACGCGAAGCGAACCAACGTCGTCGTCGTCGTCGTCGTCGTTGTCGTCGGTACGACGTATCCGCACCTCGATCCTTCCCGGGATTTCTTTTTTAAATGAAAAGAGGGATCGTTAACCCCCTCGCAAATTTATTTACTATTTCATATTGTAACGATCAAATTACTAAGAAACATCTTTCCTTCGCTGTGTCACTGATCGAAAGATAAGAAAAATTGTCTGACACGGGTTTCTTTCTTCTTTCTTTTTTGTCAAGACATAAAAAATATGTTTAAGAAATTGAATTGCGTTGCAGGTCAATGGCGGGTCACCGGCCGAAGCAGCGGGTCTCAGAGCCGGAGATGCCGTCATTAAGGTCAACAGCACGGAAATGTACAATCTGAGGCACAAGGACGCTCAGGATGTCATCGTCAGAGCTGGGAACAATTTCGAGATAACCGTGCAAAGGTAAAAAGAAAAAGAAAAAGAAGAAGAAGAAGAAAGGACGGACGAGTGACTATCTTTGTTCTTCTCTCGTTTCTTTGTCCCGTTCTTTGTATCTACGTCGGATGAAAATTTTTGAAGCAGCGTTAATCGTTTCACGTAGAGGCGGCAGTACTTGGAAACCAAGCGTGACGCCGGTATCGTCTACGCTTCCATCACCGACGCCTGCTGTATCAGCTGGTAACATTACCCCGGTCACGAAGACATCTCTGGCTGCAAAGAAACAGGATGCACCACTTATCGGAAGTGGACATAATTTCAGTCCTAAGCCATTCGTATGTATACATGGAACTTGATTTAAATAATCGTAATAATAATAATAATAATGAACTTAGTTTTCGTGTTCTATTGATAAAATAAAATGAACAAGATTTGAAATGATTCGCGGCAAAGTCTACAAATTATTATTGTCTACTTTGCATTCCAGCTGAACGGTACCAGCGAGGGTCCAATAAAATCTATCGTAAACAAACAGTACAACAGTCCGGTAGGAATTTACAGCGAAGAGACCATTGCTGAGACTCTATCAGCACAGGCCGAGGTTCTCGCCGGTGGTGTCCTTGGGTAAAATACAAAAAAATAATTCCTTCTTTATAACGAAATCATCGGCTACTTTTTACTTCTAACTCGTTTACGTTCGGCCTGTCGCATCCATTTGTAATTTTCCCCGACGTTTGCAGGGTTAATTTCAAAAAGAACGAGAAAAATTACAATGCGGAAAACAGCGAGGTATTTAAGATGGTACAGGAAGCCGATAAAGAACCGAAAACACCGGAGCCAGGTTAGCCGAATATTATTATTATTATTATCGATCGAAATCTATCTATCTAAAATGTTCATAACTTTTTTATTATCTCTATTCGCTTTAAAAATATCGTATTATACGTGTGTGTGTATATATGTACACATAAAATTGTTGGCAAGAAAGAAAAAAATCACTGGAGAACTGGAGAAAGACAAAATATGTAATAGATCACGGTCTCCAGAGGATTTTTGTTGTCAAAGAAAAGAACTTTTATGTAAAAAGGGGCGGGTGGTAGGGAAAAATGAGAAAAAAATCGATGACGGTAATGTGTCTATGCATGCGGAAACGATAACTTGTTTGAAAAAATAGTTGAACCAAGTGGTACCAGCGGTGTGATAACGCCATCGTCGCCTGCCTTGGCTGGACTGAGGCCAGTGTCGGCACCGGAAACGAAAACTCAGCCTCCGACAACGCCCCAATCGAGTCTTCCACCAGGACAAAACATCTGTGCCGAGTGCGAGAGGCTCATCGTGTAAGTTCTACGCAAGGTCCGGAGGTCCGACTCTCCTCTCTCTCCAATCTCTCTTTCTTTCTCGGGGCCCTCCCCCCTTTCGAGAGGGAAACAGTCTCTCTTTACAGAAGACAATGATCATCTTTATGGACGAGAAAGGAGCGATGACGAACGCAATGTCTGATTAAGAGGAGGAGGCCGTTTTTTCTTTCTTACTTTTTCTTCATAGGAAAAAAATATCAGATACTCGAGTTATTTTACTCGGTTCGAATGACAAAGGACACATTTACACACATGCACCGATTTGCATTCGCTTTGATAATTATGACGGTATACTAATTATTCATTTTTGTAGATTATTCTTTTTTGTTTTTTTTTTTGTTATTCAGTCTACCGTCATAATTATCATAATTTACTCATACACTTGATAAATATTGCGAAATAATATAGAAAATGTATATAGGAGAAGATCGGTGTGAAAAGGCGATGAAATAGATCATCATCATCAGATATCATTTAGTTGGAGTTAGTGATGGCCTTTTTTTTGTTTTCTCTAATTCCATGTCGTAGTATCTTCAAGGACAGAGTTTTACTCGTCGGTGAGCCACGCGATTGGCGGAAGGGCCACCTCGCCCAAATCACCCACGCCTCTGTTTCACGCCCTTGGTGGCGGTGGCGGTGGCGGTGGAGGTGGCGGAGCCACAACCCCAAATAGCCATGAATATCCACGAATATCAAACAACGAGGATCAACAACGTCGAGACCAGTCGCTTGTCCGTTGCAACAACTGCGACCGAGTGATCGTGTAACTATTTACGAAAAGAACGAACAAAATTATCTGTAGCCCTTTCTTGCACGATCGACGGATAACGGACCGATTGCTGTCCATTTCTACGGGCCCAAAAAAAAGATTAACGAGTTTATCTTAATTAAAACAAAATACACACTTTTTTCGAACATTTTATGCAAATTATCATTAATCGACAAAATATAATTAAATAGATTTATTCGAGTTCTAATGTTGCATACTGCAGACATGTAACATAAGTTCTTTTTCTAATTATATTATTATTAATTTAAAATGTAAATCTCGTTTCTCTTGCCCGTCGAAGAGACATCGAAAATGTTGTCCATTTGAATTGCTCGATTGTCGTACGTACGCTGGTATTTTATAATATTCTTGTCTCTAAGTGCTTCGATTCGTATGAAAAAGAAAAAAAGCAAACAAACAACCAACAAATATTCGTCGCTTTTTAACGAACAAAACCTAACTTTGTATTTCATCTGTCGAGCGTTCTATCGAATCAAGTATTATATTATATTACATATATACATATGCTTGATGAATCGAAGCACATCAACTATACTTTTCTTCACTTTTGCCTCTTCGTCAACATCGCTTCTTCAAAAAGAACGAAAATCAATTCCATCGGTCAATGTGCCAAACAACTATTCATTTCTAGCATCTCGAACATTCGTCATCATCCGAGCTTGATGCTTGAATTTTCTCCGAATTTTTTTCAAGCGAACACACGAAAATACTTTTTACAAGCTTTTCTTCATATGCCAAGCTCCATTTTATTATTCTCTCTTTCTTGCTATCTCTCTCTATCTCTATCTCTCTCTCTCTATTTCTCTCTCACTCTCTTATATTCTTTTTTTATCTTTCTATTTATTTCACTTCATTTATTTATCTGTTGCTCCATCACTCTCCTCATCGTCTTTTTTCTACTCTTCTATTCATCATCTATATTCTCTTCTAAGAGACAAAATCGTACAATCGAAGAAGAGTTTCGCTTTTGATGTTGTGAACATTGTTTTTTGTGACTGTATAAATTATTTTTTTGTGTTTCTATTATCACAATTTTTTGTTGTTGTGCTTTTTGTGAAGCAAGCAATGCGTTGCCGTTCGTATTTTTATTATTTTTTCAACAATTTTTCGGCAAATCGCGAATTTCTTCATTATCTCTCTCTCTCTCTCTCTCTCTCTCTCTCTCTCTCTCTCTCTCTCTCTNTCTCTCTCTCTCTCTCTCTCTCTCTCTCTCTCTCTCTCTCTCCTATCTTTCTTTCCTCGATATATTTTTGTCGTTGTCTTTAAAGAACACATTATTACAATTTGGTGTTCAGGTAATTGAAAATCACCTTGCAGTTTTAAGCCTTGTTTTGTTTCAATTACTATGATAATTATACGATACAAATGGCGATGAAAGAACAAACAGAATCTTTTTTTGCTATAAACGATCGTTGAAATCAGCTATAGTCGTTAACATATATCATGAATTCATCATACATTCATTACGTTTGAATAAATTCTTTTCGAATATAATATGTCCCGGCCTCCTTCGTCGAGGTGTCGTGCTCCTCTCTCCGTGCTTTTTCAATATTCTAAAAAAAAGATAATAAAATTTACAAAATAAAACAAACAAAAGAAAAAAAGAACCAAAAAAAAACGAAAAATCGTGGCATGTCCGATTAAAAAAAATAATAATAATTGAAATATTCTTATCATTGTTTCAAGTTGTTGATCTTCTTCTAATCCGAAAACAAAAAAAAGAAAAGGAAAAGCTTTTTCTCTTAATAAATTAAATCAACCCCTTTAAAACAATGTTTACGCGAAATAGAGTAGATCTGGAATACAAAGTTAATCGCATTTGTTTTCTCATAGAGGTGTCTTCGTTAGAATCAAGGAAAAAAATCTTCACGTGGAATGCTTCAAATGTTCAACGTGTGGTACTTCATTGAAGAACGTTGGTTACTACAATATCAACAATAAATTGTATTGCGATATTCACGCGAAATTGGTAGCCAGACAAAATGCACCTCCCGGTGTTATACCAGTCACTATGCCACCGTAAGTTAATCCCATTTAATTTATCTATCATTTAAAAAATCTATTGATCTCTATCTATCAACCAGTGGGTAGATCTAAAATTACACATTTTCTAATCGTTTTTCTTAGGATATTGAATAATAAAAAAAAAGAAAAAATAATAAATAAATAAAAGAAAAAAAAAAAATCATTTGACAAGACGTAAAATCTATTTTGGATATAACGTGTGGGATAGAACATAATCAAGCAGGCTAATAAATCATTCGGGGCATTGATTTCAGAGGCAGCAAAGCACCAGCCAGCACGATTTCTGCTGCGCTTTCGAACGTTGGCACACCTTTATCGCCACCGCTAAGCAATCACGGATCTTCACCGTTGCCGTTCACCGTAAGTATTAACAACCACCTTAGTTTATTTCCAATTTGCATGAAAGAAGATTCTTATATGTTTCATATTTATTTTATTTCATTTCATTTCATTTCACATTTTATTTTATTTTATTTTATTTTATTTTATTTATTTATTTATTTATTTATCGCTTACATAACGCAACTACTTTGCATCGAGAGTCGCTTTACGCACTGCGAATGATCACGCGAGATTATTTTATCGAACACATGTAAAAGAAATCTCAATCAAACAGAAAGAAAAATATTTTCGAAAGATATACCCTAACAAAAATCGTGTGTTCTTTTGTTTTTGTTTTTGTTGCTTGGCACTAAACGCTTTTCCAGAATTGCGGCCGTACTAGTCCAGATTATGGTTACGATCGTCAATCAAGAAGAACGCCGGTGAACAGGAATGGCTGCATCAGGAACGGGGAGTGCAATGGGGAATCGAAAACGTTTACGAGCACTATCACCATCCAGACAGGTGGCACGGAGGTTGGCAGTGTGCTCTGATTTTATTCGGATTCGATTTAATTAATCAATCCACTCGTTCTATATTATTAATTATTTTCTCACATGATTTTTTGTGCACGCATTCTCGCACGCGTATCTTTCGTGTCTCGTTGATAACAATCTGTCAGGGGAAGGAAATTGTTCGTCCTCGTCCGAAAAAAAAAAAACACAGTCCAGCTAATTTTTCATTTCCCTATATTACATCGAAACAACAAGAGTCACATCCTTCGTCAAAGTGAAAGTTAAGCTATAACGAAAGATCAATCGTTACGACTTAGGCGGAAGTGACGCGCGTGCATCGATTCAATGATAATCGACTCGATATGAATTGTATTTAAAGGTGAATTGAATGAAAAAAAAAAAAAAGAAAAAAAAAGAAAAGAAAAAAAGATTCGAGACCGTAAGTGCATGGTAATAAAATCAAAATCGGTCGATCGTAGTAGTTGCGTGTCTGTTACGTAAAACAAGACGCGTATTACGCAACGAAACTAGTCAAAGTTACGAGCTCTCTCTCTCTTTCTCTCTTTAAAATGATTTTCAGATTAGAAAAATGATTGTCGTGTTTTATATTTTAATATTATAATAATTTATTTATTTTTGGATCGTTCAAAAATCGACCCTTTTCCAACAAACGACGAGGACCTTTCCTTCTTCTTTTCTTCCCCCACACATATTGTATCGAACTTTCTAACGAGTTTATTCAATTTTAGGATAGAATAAAAATGAGTTTAGAGTCGAGAAAGTATCGATAAATCTCCGTAATTTAATCTGAAAATTTGCGAAAGGTGACTACTCGCTCGAGTGTGACAGCACGGGTCGGTAATGCGGTCAGGTCTTATTTATATTTCGAAGTGTGCTAAAAAACGATCTCGATTTGTCATCGGTTAACGAGTAAGATGAGATACGCGAAATAATCGTTAGAAATAATCCGTTATAGTTTATATATGATTATTTGTAACGTTTAGAAACGAATCGTGTATTATTCCATTGTTCCTATAGATTCGTATTGGTTATATAAGAATACGATAGAATAGAATAAAATTAGGATCTATTGCGACAACGGAAAGATCGATTTGATCGAGAATGAATCAAGAGCCAATCATTCTTAAAATTTGTTATGCCTCATCGTGACTAATTAGTCATCGTCAAGTGGGTCCCTCCTCGTCTCTTTTGATTCTTCTTCTTCTTCTATTTCTTCTTATTCTTCTTCTATTTCTTCTTCTTCTTCTACTTATTCTTCTTCGTATCTTCTGTTTATCTAATCGCCGTGGTAATAAAACACGTGACGGATTTGTGTCGTTTTGTGTATTACAGTCGTCTACCACCACCAACAACAACACCACCACCAGCAATCACGTTGGCAGTTCGCCCGTCGAACCACCCGGTGGTTTACGATCAGTCCAGGTAATATCTTCGAACGATCAGTAACGCTCAACGATTTCTCTCTCGCAGAACCCTTAAACGCGGCTCGACATTTTTCTCGGTACGTTGTTAGTGATCGTCTGTGTCCATGAGAAGAAAAATTCTATTTAGAAAGTTAATATCTAGAGCGAGTTTATAACAATACAAATTTAATTATTATAATAGACTAGTACGTTAAATATAGATTTTGTTTTATTTCTATAATACGATTTTTAGGAATGTCACGTATCGTCTGACGTCCAAATAAAAATCGATCTATCAAATTTATTCTACGTTTATATCACAACTTCAAGAGGATTATTATAAACGATTTATTAACGAAGAATCGTCTATTTAATGGCTGTAATTAGAAAAAAACGAAGAATTATTACTTTCGATTATTACCCAATCGTTTTGCACGAGCCGTAGTAGTAACGCCAATTAACACCATTTTTGTGTGTCAGTGTATATTATTACGTAAATTTAATTATTAACACACACAATAGAGTGTATATAAAATATATTATATATTTTAATTTATACAAGATGTGATTAGAATTTTCACGATCGAAAATTTATTTTTAAATAAGACAAACAAACTACTCCCTTTGATCAGTGTTTTCCAGAATCCGATATAATCGTGTTTTAATAATTTTTTATTCAACGTAAGTCCGCTACTTTCCGTATAGTAAATAATATCATTGTTAACGAAAGATTTTCTAAGGTAATCGTGAATTAACAAAATAAATAGTTAATTAATATAAATGATTTATTTCTTTGCAGACACCGACGTCGAATAGTTTAATCGGGCCTAAGCCTTTCGGTGGATCGAGCACTTTGTCGAATCTTTCATCACCTTCAATAGCAAATTCGGGAAACAGTATTCTTCCACGCGTGCAGAATCAGACCGCAACCGGTAAGCTTTTCATTTCGATGACACGATATTTAATTTTAAACGAATGAACGAAAGAATATGAATGATAAAATAATTCAATACTATCATTAATATCAATTCTAAATAATAAGAACAATCGATATTGTTTTAATTCATATTCTTTTGATCATTTTATACAAAATAAATAGAACAATGGCAACCATTTGCAAACGATAACGGGATGGGATAGCCGTCAGAATGATGAAACTCGAACGATTAGCGACCCAGATCGTGCTCTGGTATTAAAAAATAACCCTTTTATATAGAATAAATATAAAATGATATAAGAAAAATATTGATTGACCAAATAAAATAATGGTCGAGAAAAAAAAAGAAGAACAATCTCGCAAATACTTACATACGTTCTCCTAGCGACGTGCTCGCTTTTGTCCTTGGCCTAACTTTATCTTCGATTGTTGCAAATAGGTCTCTTCTCTGCACTGCCAAAGCCAAAAAGTTCGCCCTTCAGAGGTACGACGATAGATTAGATCCGACTGACCGAGTTTCGAGCTTTGGCTAATGCGTCCCCTTTGGCTTACCTCCTCACATTTTTTCACTCTCTCTCTTTCTCTCTCTCTTTCTTTCTTTCTTTCTCTTTCTTTCTTTTTCTTTCTCTTTTCATCTATCTTTGTCTACAAACTTTTTCTATCTTTCACGCTAGTATCATTTCTTGATCTAACATGATCGAATTGTATCTTTTTTTGTGCGTCGAAAAGATGGCATACGACGGTGACGAATTCAAATATTGAAACAGATTTCATTTTCTTGTAACATCAATCTGTTTAATAAAACAATTCAATGGAGGCCCCTATTTTTTTACTAAAAACTATGTCTTTCTTTTCTTTTTTCTTTATCTTATAAGAAGATGTAATCTGTGACGATATTTTTATTCGGTATCTTATAAGCTTCCTCTGCTCTCGCTCATTTTTCGCATTCCATTCGTTTATATTATTCGCTCTAGGACGATAGAAATTAATAAATTAATGAATAATAAACGTCGTAAAATATTCGATAATATACCGTAAGTTAGAAATCCTATTATTAATTTATTCGTATAGTATATACTGGTAAAAAATGAAAGTATTTTTCTACGAAACAATTGTGTAGGAAGCGTTGCATATATTCTGGCGTTATCATCGTTTCCCAGTGCCATCTAACGCTGGAATACCCGAACTAACTTTGGTGGTGCACCCCCGACAGTAGGCAATTCGTAGACACGCGTGTACGAAAAAAAGAATACCATTGAAATGAATTTTATTAGATTTGTTTAAGTCGACAGTCTTCTTCTCGTTCGTTGAAATTGCGAAATATGCGACACCTTTTCTATTATATTGATATCATTTTTTTTTATATAAATTCTAATTTGAATATATACGCAATTTTGTTGTCTTTACGATTGTCGATCATAAAAACCTTCCTTTCACTTTACAACACACGTTCCTCTTTCCTTAAACGTAATACTGCTTTTCTTATCTTTTTTCAGCCGGTCCATCTTTCAACCCAAAACCCAGACCCTTCTCCCTCACATTCGCATGAGTCGGTAACTCTCAAGAAACGTCGTCGTCGTCATCGTGCCGATAAACAAAAAATAAATAATATACAAAATTCATATTCGCTATATATCTTATTACGCGAAACTATCAAAGAATTACACGCATTGAAATTATAACGGAATTCATATTGTATTTACGAATGATTATAAATATTTATCTATAAAATACATTTGAGAGAAATGACAAAAATGCAATGCTGCGTCGTTTAAACAAGAAATGTTAATATTTCTATATAATATTACACACACACACACATCACTGATTCTATAATTTGGAAAAAAAGAAACAAATATTTTTTTAAAAAATAGAAAAGGAGTGTGCGTTGAGTAGCGACTTACTTTTCAGAGACAAAGAAAGTTTCGTCGGCTGGATTGCGATGTGCCAATTAATAGATAACAAATAAATGAAGAATCAAACATAGTAGAGTATCATAATATTGTCGCTCAGCAAACGGCGTCGATTTATTTTGGATAAACTTCGATATCGCACATCATTCGCGTGTCATCTTCGCACACACGTTCCCCATTTTTTAACAGCGTTCATTTTTTGGTTTTTCTCTGCTTTTTCGCATAGAAATTCTCGAGAAAAGAAGCTCGAGAGTAGAAGACGCACTTGAGCTGTTTAAAAAACTAACGAATCATTTCTTTGGATCTTTTAGTATTGACCGCCCGATTAAATATAAACACGAGCTTTTGACGAGCTTAGAAAATATTATTATTTAGCTAATAAGCACAATGATATTTTAGCATTAAAGAAAGAAAACATTTTGCTTCGACATTTTCTCGAACGCACTGTTTTATTCTCTATTCTCTATTCTTTTCTTTTCTTTTCTTTTCTTTTCTTTTCTTTTTTTCTCTTCATTTTGCTATTTTCTTTTTTATTTAGCGTAACCCGGCACGTGCCCGTTTTCTCAAGTCATTTATCTGTCCGTTTGTTTGAGATAATTGCAACAGATAAACGGGATAAACGAGCAGATAAGAAACGAAAAGAGGACGGGTACGAGCCATTCAACGTGCTTCTTACTCACCGCAAATTTCTCTGTTTTTTTGTTTGTGTTTCTTGTTTCATTTCTAACATGCCCTTTTTTCCAAATCTAATTGACCGCACGTCTCGAGTATCTTTATGTGTTATCCGTTTGACTTTGTTCTTCTCGTTTTTTCCATCCTCGCGTATCGTTATTAACAAACGAATAAATAAATTACAAAACAATGGCAAACGTGTTCCTAAAAATATTCCCCATCCCGAAAAACCTTATCAGAGGTCCACGAAAAGTTCTATTATTACGATTGCGTCGAGGAAAGCAGAGAAACAACAAGATCCCCTTCGAATCCATCGACCGATAAACTTAGCAATCGAAATTCGGTGAAATCTCGAAGTCTCGCTTGGCCACCGACTAAATCGATCGAGGACATAACATATCCGACCGCAAGTCCTTTGTACATCGATCCGAATCCGGTATTAGATCGTCGAGATCAGCACGCGGTAAAGGATAAACGTGCGAGTATCGAGGCCTGCGAAAAAGTATTGAAAATAAGAAGAAGCGAGAGTACTGATCGGGACTACGAACGAACTTCACGACAAGGTTATTATATCGATCAAGACGCGATGGACCGTGTGAGTTGTCCAGGTCCAGTTTACAAGCGAGTCGAGTTGGTGGATACAAATGGTGGTGGTGCAAGAAGAGAATCCAGACGGGAAACTTCTAGGCCTAGCTCGACCGATAGTTGTGTTAGAAGATCGTTAACACCTACGAGAATCTATCAACCGATACCCAGACCATGGACAGCAACCGTGTCAACTGGTGGCAATCTTTACGAGAAGAGTTACGGATCCGAGGAGCAAGCAAAAGTTTGTAAAAAGTATAAGAGCGAGATATGCCAGAGTGAAAAAGTTGTCGAGGATGGCGTGCGAGAAGAACACCGAGCTTTTCGAGCTGAAATGTGTCGAACGGAAGAAACCGTATCTCCTAAACCACCACTACCGTGTCACGCACGTCCCGAAACACCCCGAGAAATCGTCAAAGAATTCGACAAAGAAGTCATGGATTTGAGAAAAGTCGAAAAAGACACGACCATCGATACGACCGAGACTCGACAATTCGTACCGTCCGATGTAGTCGCTGTTCAAAAAGGAATCGAAGGTGAACACGATCTTATCACTGAGACGGCCGAGGAAGATATCGGTGATATGCACGTTAAGAAAACAACGACTTACGAGAAAACCGTGGAAGTTTTATCACCCAGGGAAGGTTCGCCGGCGTTGGAACAAATCGAGGAAGTGGAATCGTGCACGCGTAGAAGTACGACGAAAGTTGACAGACAATCTGTCGTCGAAGGTACGACGGAAACGAAAACGGTCGAGGAATCTGCCGAAGTTGTAACCTCGGCCGTAGATGCCACGAAATTGATCGAACAAGCAAAGAGGGATGAGGAAGAAAGGAAGAGGGAAGAGGAGGCAGCGGAGAGAAGGAAACAGGAAGAGGAAGAGAGGAGGAGAAGGGAGGAAGAAGAAAAGAGAAGACGAGAAGATGAAGAGAGAAATAAAAAGCGCGTAAGTTTCAGGGAGGAACAGGACGACGACGACGAAGAAGTCGTCGAAGTAATTCGAGAGAAACCACTTGGTCGTACGGTAATACACGAGGAAAAGGTTACAGAATCGGATGGTTCGAATCCAGGTTGCAAGAAAATTACTAAAGAGACGTACGAGGAAATTGTGGAGGAAGTTCTCGTTCAAGAACGTGTTAAAAGAAGAGACGTGGAAGAGGAACGTAGGAAAAGTTTGAGAGAACAGGTCGAAGTTCATCAGAGTCTTCGCGATCAAGGAAGACATCCGACTCCTCAAGAACGAAAAGTTGGAGCCAAGTATACGCCGCACGACAACATGGAGACTTGCAAGAAACACGTTCAATTTATGAAACAAACTGAGACGGGACCTAAACCGATTTCCGACGGACCCGTACAAAATGCCACGCCGAAAGAATGGAAATCCGAAATGGTTAACGCTTTGACCACCGCACCGGATCGTCCCTTCACCCCTGTCAGTTCAACCGTGAAAGAACTTTACACCGAAGAAACTGTATATTTGGATCACAAAGTAAGACCGGTACCAAAGCCAAAGGAACGTCCGATATCGCCGTTCCAACGTGCTTTAACTATAGCTCCGGAACGTCCTTACACTCCGCTCAGTCGAGTTATCGGACCGGAAGATCGAGAAGTTGGTAGAGCTCAGACACCAGTGGTTACGCCTATTCCGGATGGAATTTGTCCACCAGCTGATATACTTTATGGCGAATTGAAAGATACTTATCGTCGAGAACAAGTTTGTACGAAGAAAATAGTACCGCAGCCGTTGCCTACCCCACCTCCAGATTATCGTTTGAGAGATTCCTCGGTTTCACCGTCGAGATCTCGGCCCTGCAGTAGAGCCGACACACCTAGTAGTAAACCCTCGACGGTGGGATTGAGAAAACCAGACACCATACCGATTTATCAAAGGAATCTCGTGGCCATGAAGAAATCTCCTGTCGAAGCACAACCCTATGTTCCTAGTCGATCTCCAACGCCAACTCCAAGAAGAAGCAAATCTCCGGCACATGGACCACCGTCACCTCCGTCTTATTACACGAAAGCGCAAGCACCTAAAATCAGAGATGATCCTCCGTGGGCCGTTAAGGAAGCTCCTCCTCGACCACCGTCGAAACAAAGCTCGATACATTATCCCTCCCGTAAGACCATTAATTATACCGTAGAAGAGGATACGGATACTGGTCACAGGAAACAAGAATACATGGGTTCTAAAACGGTACATTACGACGAACGACAGGCGGAAGAAAAGCAACAGGAATCCGATTCCGTACACGCCCAATACCAAGAACGACGAGCGATGACCAGCGATGATACCAGCGAAGAAAATAATACCGTTTGTCATATTAAAAGGGCACTACAAGTTGTCGAGGATTACGAGAAATGCGAAAAAAAGACTATGGCGATTACGCAGCCATCGTCGGAAAAGAAAGGAGAATGTTCTATCATTTCGACGACACATGCGGACGTAACTCTACCTTGTCCAATAAAACGCAAACCCGTCGAGGTCCCTAAAGTTCAACCAACGTACAGTAGCTCGACCGAGGTACGTCACGTTCGCTACGAAACACCAACTCCTCCTGCAACTAAGTGTCCAGAAACCGGAGTGACCGTTTTACCGTGCAAAGCTCATTCCGACCAAGGCACCAAAGCTGGCGTGGTGGTCGTACCCTGCGATGGACAACCAAGTCGTCCAAAAACAGGCATCTGCGTGACGCCGACTCCTGATCGATCTGGAGTTTGCGTATCGCCCTGCTTCGGTCTTAGACCCGGTTCTTGTGGGCAACCGTCTGGTTATTGCGGTGGCGAATCGGCAGGATACGATTTTGAAATACCCAATTGTCCAGAATCCGGTATCTGCGTGGCACCTCGTCCGGATGGTTCTGTCTGTGTAGCACCTTGCAAAAAATCTACCGGCCAATGTCTTCGCAAGAGCCAAAGTCGAACGAATCTTCCTTTCCCGCAAATCCCATTCCCCTACGAAGAGGGATCCAGTCCTCAAACCACCCAGCGTTGTTCTTTCGAGCCAATCCATAAGCCTAAAACTAATCTCAGCGGACAGCTTGCGCGACTAACAGCTAAAAATCGAGATATTCCTACCGTTCAGCTTTACAAACCATTACCGCAACAATGCCAACAATCCAGCAGTCAATGTGAAAACCAATGTGAAACCACAAAAAGCTATCATTGCGAGACCAAAAGCTTCTATCAGTCCCAAAGCCAATGTCAAACCGGAAGTCATTGTCAGTCTCAGACTAGCTGCCAGGATGGCTTCCATTGCTCCCCTAGTAAAACCCCAAATTTAGTAGACCCACCAAAAATGTCATCCCACCCGGATCTAGGTACCGGAGGTCTCGGTGGTTCCGGCTCGAAAAGCGGATCCTTTGCTGGTAGCAGTGCACCTAAACGTGGAAGGGGTATCCTCAATCAGGCTGGTGGACCAGGTTCCCGTGTACCACTCTGTGCTCATTGCAACTCCTACGTCAGGTAGGACGATGCCTGACTCGTCGATCGTGTGCCTGATTTTTTTCTTTTACTTCTCCCTAGATTATTTTCTTTTTCTTTATTTTATTTCCCGATTGCAGTGTGTCCTCGCTTTTTTATTTGACTATCGAGACAACCAAAATCAAAGGAGTACGTTTCTTATGATTAATAAACGAATGTTCGTCATTTTTTATTATTTTTCAGTGCTTGCTGAATATATTCCGTTTTTGTGTGACTTTGAATGAATTTTCGTAACTTAACCGTGTGCCGTCTAGATAATTAACATAATTTTATTGCACGTTGTTGACAGCTAACGGAGAAAATACTAATCATACAACAAACGGTTTCGTCGTAAAGCCAGTTTGCTGTCAGGACAACAAGACTTGCACGAGGTTCGTATAATTCACCTGTCTTACATTCGAAATAAATATTCGAACGATTAATTAATATCTAAGTGTGTGTGTGTGTGTGTGTTAAACTCATCTTCTCGTCAAGTTAAATGCGTTTTCTTTATACTTCTAATTATTTCAATACATTAATTATCATTAAAAATAATATAATTTCCATTCAGAGGACCATTCATTACCGCACTGGGACAAATCTGGTGTCCAGAACATTTCGTATGCGTGAACACCCAATGTCGTCGTCCATTACAAGACATAGGATTCGTCGAGGAAAAAGGACAACTTTACTGCGAATATTGTTTCGAAAAGTTCATCGCACCGTCTTGCAACAAATGCAACAACAAAATCAAAGGCGTAAGTGTTATCAATACATTTTTATCGATTAACAAACAGATCGTAAAAATTCGTATAAATTATCTAGGATTGCTTAAACGCAATTGGAAAACATTTCCACCCTGAATGCTTCAACTGTTCGTATTGTGGAAAACTTTTTGGCAACAGCCCGTTCTTTTTGGAAGAAGGTTTACCCTACTGCGAAGCTGGTTAGTTTATCATCGTTTAACCATTTGTTTATTTAACAATACGACTACATCGATTAATAATTTTGATTGTTTTATTTTTTTATTAGATTGGAACGAACTTTTCACGACAAAATGCTTTGCCTGTGGATTCCCGGTGGAAGCTGGAGACCGTTGGGTAGAAGCCCTCAATAATAATTATCACAGTCAGTGCTTCAACTGTACGGTAAGTTTCAATCATTCATTTTTACAATCAATTTATTGGATAACTGAAAAATTGGAGCAGTTATTCAGAAAACAGAAGACCCGTGAAATCTAGACGCTCAAACGAGCCCACGAATTCTATATACATATATATAACACACACACAAATTGATCACCATTTTTTAATTTTGCAGATGTGCAAGAAGAATCTCGAGGGTCAAAGTTTCTACGCGAAAGGTGGTCGTCCTTTCTGCAAAAATCACGCGCGTTAAAATTCCTCACAGATGAAGAACGCGTGCGGCAAGGAAGAAGAAGAAAATTAAGAGAAGGATGAAAATAATGAGAGAAAAAAAAAAAAAGGAAAAAAGAAAACATTTAAAATAGATGTTGACGAATAATCCTTTCATCCTTCTTCTTAAAATCTTCTTCTTTCTTCCTTTCTTTCTTTTCCATATCGAGCTGAAATCATTCGACTAACCGATCGTTGCCAGAGTTACGAACACGTCGGATAATTTTCTATTATCAAATTTCATCTCGTATTTTTTTTTTTTCACAAACAACGAACAATGACGAAAATTCAAGAAAGGATTCGTTAAATCCGTTCGAGTTCGTGGCTCAATTCGCGTACCCGCTTGCAAGCGTTCCGTGTGTAGCAAAAAACCAAGATATAAGAAATATATATATTTATACATACTACTACATACATGCATATTATATACCAAAAAAAAAAAGAAAGGGACAAGAAAGGAAAAATAAAAAGGAAAGAAAAATCGGAGCGAAAGAGTTTTGAAAGCCAGCACTGTCGGAATAAAAAAGAAATATAAGAAGAAAAAAAAACACAAGGTGGATAGGAAAATTGTAAGCGCATTGGCGCGCGCGTGGCCGGAATAAAAGCATCGTTTCATATATATATATACATGTGTGGGTGTGTGGGTGTGCGTGTATGTGCGCGCGTGTGTAGATACATATTAACAAGGCAAGGATAAGGATAATAATAATTAATAGCGACTTAGAGTTCTCGGGAGGGAAGGGGTTGGTGGGGGAGGACCGTGCTCGAATACCTCGTAAAACTCGGTTGCAGAGAATTCTGCGGCGAATCTCTTTGTCGAATCACGCAAAGGTCAAGCGAGCAATTAGCGATTAACGAAGAAGGATCATTGCCATATTTCTCGTTGCTTCTCAAGGTGCACCTCTCGAGGATGCACTTTGAACGATTAACGGAAAATACCCCAGCTTAAGGAGTTTGTGCTCGATCAAATTTTTAAGAGAATACGTGTGCAAGAGAACGAAATAGAGAGAGAGAAAGATGACGAATGAAAGTAACAAGAAGTAAAAAAAAAAAAGAAATAATACCAAGTTATCTATACGATTTCGAAAAGAAAAAAAGCTCCAATCCGATCACGTGCGTAGCGTCCGTTTAGTAGTACAATTATCCTTGAAAGTAATCTACGAGCTACACAATTCGAAAGGTTTCGTAGCTTAAACTCGCTAAAGCTTTTCTCTCGTTTATATATATGAATTCAATAATTCTAAAGAAAGAAGAATATTTTTGTTGTTAACATTTCGAAAAAAACGTATGCGCGAAGATTATTACGATTATTTTTATTCTTTTCGTTTTCTTTCTTTTTTTCTTTTTTCTGTTTTTTTTTTTGTTTGTTTTTAAATGTACTAGTCAAACGTTGAAGTATCGAAAAAAGGAATGTAAAATGTTTTTATTACATAGATTCGCGAAAGCAAATGACAGAGTAGTACCGATACAATGAGAAAAGAAAATGTTCTTCGATCTAATAAGACGAGCAGCAGCGCGTGCCTATTGTCACTAACGCGATTCGATCATGATTCTGTGCACGTGGATCATGAATCAACGATTATATCGCACCGATTAAATATATATTTTTTAGCTTATATTACAATCGAATTAAAAGCGAGAGCGTTGTAATCATATATAACCGTAGTCCTATTATAGTGCATACGAAACTCGCTTCTAGTCGAGCAAACTGATCAAAGATTATCAATTGATCTCCTCGACTTAATAATAATAACAATGATAATAATATACAAAAAAAAAGGAAAAAAAAGAACAAAATAATGAAAAGAAAAAAAAATTATGTCGAAAGGGAGAAACAACTCGACAATAGCGAAAGCACGAGCCATACTACACGATAATCTTTTAGACGAGGTTACCGAATTTTTCTGTGCCATCTGCACGAGTTCGTATATTAAAGGGAAAAACAAAAAATAAATATAAAAATAAACGAGAAAATATATACGAAATAACTCGTCGGACTCGATAAAAAATTAACGTTAACAATGATAATAAAATAATGATGATGACGATGATTATGATTACGATTATGATTATAATTATGATTATGATAATAATAATAATAATAATAATATAATAATAAACGTGTAATATTTTAGTTCGTAAGACTTTAAAAAGGAAAGTTTAATTGACGAGCGTAAAATCATCCTACGACAGATGCGACGAGGAAGAAGGAAATTTTTAAAAAAGAAAAAGAAAAAAAGAAACTACAAAAAAGAGAATATTAAAACAACGAATGATTATTAATCCAGGCGTGTCTGTTAAAAACGATCGATCATCATAATTCGCGATTGAATAAAAAATTGAAATTGAATATCAATGATAATCGGGCATGAGCCTCTTCTCTGTATCTGTGTTACGTGTTGCTTAAAATAAAATGAAATGTATACTTTTGCTTACAGTTCTTAAAGTTCTAATCTACTGTTAGAATTAACATTAGATAAAACTTTTTAATCGAATTTCACGTCGATAGACACTTCCTATTTTAAATCCATATCCTTCCAAAATAATAGCATTAGCACGAAATACCATTCACGATTAAATATCCGATAAAAGCCCGAGAGCAGTTTCTTTCTCTTACGGTCGTTACATATATATATATAAACTCAAGAGTGTAATTTCGTACGAACTCGAAAGTAGGAAACTAAATCGCTACAGGACTTTTTATTGATTCGACGTTTGCTTTTAATAATGTTCAACATCGTTCGATATGAAAGCAGCTTCAAAGCGAAAGGGAAAGCAATTACGTGAAATAGCCGTTAATCCTTCAAATATCTAACTATGACGTCAATATTGCGTTATAATAATTTTCACTTATTTAACTGTGGTCGTTATTTTATAAGGAAAGGAAAAGAAAAGGAAAGATTTAAAATCGACATGTTTAATGGCGAACCCATTGAAATATAACGCATATAAAAAGCAATAAGAAAAGTTCAAAAAGTCAAAAAAGCCGCGCGATCGTTGCGTGTAACTAATGAGCTTCTTTCCAACTTAAATAGATACTTTTGTTAGGAAATTTGTGTTTAATAATAAGAAATAAAGCTATATATATATATATATATATATATATATATATAGAGGAGTTTGCGCGAACTATAATATTTCTGTTTTTAGGTAAAACGCGGTCGTCGCTCATATACTTCCGGTGTCCTTCGCAAGCTCGCGCGGAAGCAGGACTACGAAAGGCAGGATTAAAACCTGTGCGCGCACCTGCCTCGCGAAAACGTTTGCTAACTTGTTCCTAAACGCGCCAGTTAGTATCTACATTTCGTCTCGAATACATCTCTACTTATTTTCTTTTTTTCCGCAAACGCAAACTAATTTTCCTTTCTTTTTTTTGTTTCATTTTATTAAACGAAACGATCCGATTGCGCGATGATATTTTGCAAAGAAAATAATAATAGATAAAAATGAGGAAACCGATTATTATTAATTATTTTCATTTTAGAGAAGACGATCGATGATCCTGAGACAACGTGTGATCGATCGCCAAGATAAATAAAAGTGAGTAACACGAATATAATGGTATACTTTCTTTATACATTCGCGCGGTTATTCATTTTCAATCTCTGACGCAGGCGCAACCTGGAAAAGTTCCAAGTATCTTTCCTTTAGTGATTAACTTGGGTTGATTAAATCAAACGTTATATATTTTTCTTCGTCATTTCGATCGTAGACAAATATTGAACTTCTGCTTCTTTTCTTTTTTTTTTAATCCTATCAATTTGTTCAAATATCTTCGCTCACAATCAGATCTCGTTTTTATTCTTTACGAAACTAGCGTGAACCTAATAGCGAACACCTATTTCTGGCACATACTTTCTCATCGATTTTTCCTGATAAGAACTTACGCGAATACGTCATTTGGAAGTATTACAACGCGTTGAATCTAATTCCCCGTTTAAATACGTTAGTTCTTTCAGACTTTCCTCAACGTCCTACTACCGTCCTATTCGCTATTCTATTAGACATATAGATCATGCTCCGGCATGGCAGTAAAATGTTTGGAAGGACCTTTCGTATTTAGGCTCAACGAGAACGGCACAGGACCTCATCTGCTCGTCCAGGTAAAATATCAAACGACTTTTTCTTCCTGTTTTTTCTTTTTTTATATCTTCTATAGAATACTAGAAAATAATTCAAAGTTAAAAAAAAGAAAAGTACGCGTGTGTACTCGCCTAAATGAAATATAAATCAGTCGCGATCCGTCATCGTTTAAAACTTTTGTAACTTTTTTTTTTACCTTTCATTTGGCCCGGTTACAAAGTTAACTTATTTAACCTTGAACCAAATATTTTCTAACGCTACGATACAGATGTCATATACCTGCATAGATCTGAACAAATGCAACGAGAATTTCCGCTGCGTGTACGACGATCCTTTTAAAGCTTATGATTAACAGCATGCGACATGCAACGACAAAAGGAAGAGGAAGTAATTAATAATGTTTCGTTAAACGACACGTTCAATCTAATTATTAAAACGAATATCTATCTATCTATCTATCTATCTATTTATTTCTCATCTAAAGAATTTTTCGATTTATTTTTTCTATGTCGTTCAATGTCACGATTCATTGTCATTTTTTCTTTCGTGACGGCGTAAAACGTTCGAAGCTGATACTTTTTCTCCGTCTTCGGCGATGCATTTAAATGTCGAAAGGAAAAGGGAAAAAAAGAAAATAAGAAGAAGAAGAATAATAAGAAGAAGAAGAGACGAACTCGAAAGAAGCTTCTATCGGAGATAGCTCGTGACGAGGTACATTTATTAGACAAATTGCTTGGGGCGGCTTTGATCGTTAAATGCACCTGGCACAGAAGGTAAGGTAAAGAAAAAAAGAATGAGAAAGAGAGAGAGAAAGAGAAGAGAAGAAGAAGGAGAAGAAAAAAGAGAAGGAAAAAATGGGTTAAATGAAAAGCCAGTCGGACGTCGTTGCATGGTCGTAATTTATGGTTGACCGCAAACAAAGAGGGAAAAAAAGAGAAAGAGAGAGAGAGGGATTGTTTACCCCTTTATTTGTTCGAGATTCGTTTTCGCTATGCTCGAAGGAATAACGAGCCAGGAATGGAAAGAGAGTGCAACGCACGGGTATAATTTTCGATTATCGTCGTCCTTGGCTGGCTTTCGATATTGCACCAGGTTATTCCTAATGCTTTAATAACACGACAATAAATCAAGGGCAATCCTATTTTCGTGCTTGAGAAAGTTAGTCAAATGGTTGGAGCGCGTGAACGAACTTCCGATGTGAATGCTTTCGTGCGAAAACCTTCGCGTATTCGGGATACCAAAGTAACCGACAACTGTGTCTAATCCAACTATCCAATAGTGAATGGTTTTAAATGCCGATGATTTACGGATCGTTTATTTATATCTTCCACGTCTTCGTTGAGATGATTGAAAATAAACGCTTGATATAAAACGATTAAATTATCTTTTAAGATTTACCAATTTATACAAAGTTTTTGAACGCTTCGTAGAAATTATCAAAGTTTTTCGTAGGTATGCACGGAACGTGGATGGAGGGAATACGCGGTTGACAATAATGTATTCAAAGATCGATGGAATTTATGGTGGCGGTCCGGTGGTTTTCCCTTGTCCCATTACAAACCATTATTCCCTTGGCAGGTAATGATTTCGATCTTTCGATTCAATTATACACACGAAGAGAAATAATTATTCGAAATAAAATAACATCGAATGATATTACATGAACATTTGTCGACTCATCATACCCGTTTCGATATCCGAATAGTTTTTATTTGATTTTTTTTATTCCCAGTTCGTTAATCGAATACCAAAAGGAAACTCGATCTGCAGGAAGGACAATCTCGTGCGTCATTTAAAATGCATGAAAAAGGGCCATGGTTCGATTTACGACTTCAGGTATGGCACGCACGATAATCTTCTTCCGACCGCCTACCTCCACCCCTCCCCCCACGCACTATCACGAAAAATATAATGCATTTTTCCCGACAGTCCTGTAGGATATAATTTGCCTTCGGAATACACGAAACTAGCCGAAGATTGTAGTCGTTACGAGAAGGATGATAGAGTGTGGATTTGCAAGCCGGTCGGCCAAAGCCAAGGAAGAGGAATATTTCTTTTTCGAGTAAGTAATTTAACTTTTAGTATATTTATTTCTTCGAATATTAATTGATTCATTCCATTTAACGTAGAAATTAAGCGATCTTTCGTACAACAATTCCGCAATTGTACAAAGATACATAGAAAATCCTCTTCTTATCGGTGGTTACAAATTTGATCTTCGTCTTTACGTCTGCGTACCTTCTTATCGTCCTTTGACGATATATCTTTACAAGGAAGGAATAGCACGATTTGCAACGGAGAAATTTTCCTTGGAACGTTTGGACGATCCTTTCCGCCATTTAACTAATTTCTCTTTGAACAAGCTAGGTCCAGGATATTCGGAAAAAAAAGAACGCATTGGTGCTGGTAAGCTCGTTGAAACTAAATATTAATTACTTTTGAAACTCTGACGCAAGCTTTCCTTTCATTTTCTTTTCTTTCCGAGGTTGCAAGTGGACTTTAAGACAACTCAGACGATACTTTGAGCAAACTGGATACTTTGATTGGTTTCTCTGGCAAAGAATAGCTTGTCTAGTGAGTTTAACGATTATTAGCCAAGCAGCTGGTATACCGAGTTCGTCTAATTGTTTCGAGTTCTTCGGCTTTGACGTGCTTATCGATGAAAATTTAAAACCATGGCTATTGGAGGTATAACGATAAACTTATAAATTATGTTATAAAATATTCTAACAATGTTATATTACTTATTGAAGGTAAACCTTAGTCCAGCTCTAAGCAACGATTGCGAGATCGATTCGGAAGTGAAGAAACCATTGTTACACGATTTGTTCGATCTGTTAGGCCTTCCAGTTTGCAATACTGGACTATCGTTGTTTAAAATTTGGTCTTACGAACGAGTCAACGAAGAAAACGCGTCTTCCAAATTATCCACTAATCGTTCGACGAAGAAAAAATCTAAATTTCATCGCAACGGTGACACCATTATGAATTTGTATTCCGAAACAAGTTCTTCCGTAAAGATATATAACTTTTGCTAATTCTAACGCGTAAATTATAAGTGACACAATTAATAAATTGATTATTTCATAGTATAAGGAATCGTCTTCAGAAATGTGTCCGACTTCTTGGTCTCGGTATAATCCTTTAATGATGGACAAATGCATTCGTCGTGATTTCAAAGGAAATAATATCAACGATCACTCATCGACTTCAATATGGGATAATGGTAAAGACTGGAATGTTCCTTGCGTTAGAGAAGGTGGATGGGTTCGCATTTGTCCATTAACAAGGTTCAAACATTCCAAAACTGCTGAATTTCCTCAACCGGATGGATCACGTTCCGTTGATAGAGAAATCAAAGACACGATTCTTTATATAAACAAGTATTCCTAATTTCTCTTGCATATACTTAATTTATTCCATATACTTGAAACAGTACAAATCGATACAAGTTCTTTTTTTTCCTAGGTATTTAAAAACTGCCAAAGATATTCAACGAGGAAACGAAAAACAAAGAGACGACCAATACAATACTCTTCTACAAGCTTCACTTGATTTAAATGCAGAAATCTGGCTGCCAGAAAAGTAGAACGTATTTAAATATTTCTCTTTAAACATCGTAAAAAAAAATAAATATTTTCTTTCGCACATGGACAAAAACCCGTTTCAGTCCAAAGTTAAGGAGCAGTTAACTGCTTTTATCGATCTAAATCCTCTCTTGCGTGTGTTCATTTTAAATTTAGAAAATAATGAGTATACTAAAATTAAAAAATATTCTAATATGTCTATTTAATTATAACAATCTCGATCTATCTTATAACGCTATTAATTACATATTAAATATTTTGGAATCACACACAGATATTTATGCAATCGTAACGCGCGCTATGGTGATTTCATCATAATAAACGAATTTCTGTTTCACCAAAGAACTTGCAGTTTATCCAGTAATTTATTAAAAATATACATTAATTTACTCCCTTTGCTGCTAATCTCTTGTCACGTTCTTCCGCAATGGAAAGCTTGACACCTTTATCTCTCGGTAAACTGATATATGCCTTCAGACCTTTGCCGAT